GGACCCTCAACTTTTCCTGCCTTTCATAAACGACCTAACGGATATTCTCGGGTCACAAACACTAATGTTTGCAGACGATGCAAAAATATGGAAAATGGTGACAAAACCAGAGGACTCGCTAGAAATCCAAAGAACACTTAATGATACCTATCAATGGTCGATCGAAAATGACATGGAAATTAATGCATCGAAATGTACGGTCGTATCCCTTCTACACAAAACTCGGTTTCCGTATTTCCTGGGAGATAAACAACTTCCGTACGTCTTGAATGAGAAGGATCTCGGCGTCATTGTGCAAGACGACCTAAGCTGTTCTTTAAACTGTTCCCGGGCGTCATCTACCGCTGTAAGGCATGCTGGTCTGCTAAAACGAATATTTGGCAAATTTGAACCTACGCTGTTCCCATGATTGTTATCAGCCTACATTCAACTCCACATAGAGTACGCCATTCAAACATGGAATACATGGCTGCAACGCGATCAGAAGATTCTGGAACGTCCACAAAGAATGGCCACCAGAATGGCCAAAGGACTGCATTCCAAGAGTTATACGGAAAGACTGGGAGCACTGCAACTGTACTCCACACTCTTTCGTCGCTTTCGAGGAGAATTGATCTTGGTATACCAAATAATGCAGAACCCAGACCACCCATGTCGTTCACTCTTTTCTTTGTCGCCCAACACTCACTTGCGCTCCAAAAATGCCGAATAGAATGCTGGCGTCATTCATTCGCCCTCAGAGCATGCACTACTTGGAATTCTCTACCACCACAAGTTGTCTCTGCGCCCACAATTGATTCATTCAAGCACAAACTGGATGAAGCTTTACAAAGTCTTAAATTTCAACATCCGTAGAAGCGCACGAAAAAAGGACAAATTGTGACATTCATCTACTTTGTANCTTTGTATGAACTGTGAACCGATGCATCTGTGCCAAATCCTGTGAGACTAGAAAAGCAACCGCTTGTAAGTATTTCCCACAATAAAACTTTGACTTTGACTTTGACCGTTTTATATCCCCGTACACTTAAACGATTATCTCGGAAGAAAGAATAAGCTTCCAAAGCGAAAAAGTACTCTTTGGTGAGAGACCATTCGAAAGCAAGCAAGGCAGAACTGCTGGGATTCAATGCCGCTTATGTACATGCCCTACTGGCAAACAAGAAGTGTCGTGATATATGGAAAATTTTGTTTCCTTTCTGCAGTCTCAAAATGAAGGAGAATCTGTCAGCTGTCAATCGTCAATTCACCGTTGCTGAAACTGACATCTCTCCTCCATTCACTGTTGTCGTCCATGCTCCTAATGTTATTAGTTTAATAACAGATCAAACAGAAGTATTCAAAACTTTCATCAATCTGAAGTCTAATAAAGTATGCGGTCCAGATAGACTGCGACCTGTGGTGCTCAAAGAATGTGCAGTTTCCTTCTCCACTGTTTTCACCGACCTACTCAACCAATGTTTTACTCAGCACTGCATTCCGGACTGCTGGAGAGTGGCTTCTATCAAGCCAGTACCGAAAAAGGGACCGTCCAAATTTCGCCCAATTGCTTGCACTTCTGTTGGTTTGAAAACCTTGGAAGTGATTTAACTTCAGATGTTGTCGCAGTTGAGTGCACCTAATCCCAATCAATTTGCCTATTGCAGTTCCATTTCAACCATTGATGTGTTGGCATCCCCTTATTCATTATGTCTCCTACTTCTTGGACAAGAAATGTAAAACTGTTCGTGTATGTTTCTTTGATTATAGTGGTTCCTCTAATTGCGTGGATAGGTCCAAACTTCTTCGCTCTCTCTGAGAAAGGCATTCAGCCGGAGTTTACCAATCTGTTACGTAATTATTTCACTCATCGATTAAGAGTTTACTAAACATAAGGGTTGTAACTCTTCCCTTTTACCCTCCACTCAAGGAGTTCTCCCTTCCTGTTCACAACCTATATTTCTTCAATGCCTGCTTTTGTTGATTGTTTGCTCATTAAATATGTCGATGATGTTGTACGTAGCGTGGAGTTTTCAAATCGCTCGGTATACCCCGAACCTATGAAAAATATTTCATTGCTCACCGACTGGTCTTCACAACAAAATCTTAAAATGAATCTTTCCAAGTGTAATGATGTCTTTCTTATTTTTTGTCGAAGGGTGACCAGTACATTGATGTGATGAACTCCTGTCAGCAGGTCATTATCAATGGTGACTAAGTTTCCAGAGCATGCTCCGTCAAACACATTGGAGTCACCATTTCCCGCAATTTTTCTTGGTCTCCTCATGTCGTCGAGACATTTCGCAAAGTCAGAAAACTCACCTTTTACATTATTCGTTTGAATATGCTATCTACCCCAACTCACTTAATCAAGCGTTTTTCTTTTCTTATATCCTTCCCCACTGATTTTATGAGTCTCCAGTTATTTTCCCGGGTCATCTTATCAAAGACTTCAAACTCATAAGTACATCCAACAAACATGTATGTCGATACAGCGGCATATCTTGTGAGCATGCTGTGCAGTTTATTATTCGCAGCACTTTAGGGTTTGTCAGAAACTTTCCACCAGAATACTACTTGACCCATCTCATTCACTGTACCTTCACCTTAGTCAATGTATCTCCACATCTAGCACTGGCTCTATGCATAAGCATATAGCAACACGAACCACAATATACAAGTCTTCTGTAGTACCGTACTCGGCACGGTTTCTTACTAACGCCAATCTTG